CTCGTGTACATCGGAATTCTTTTCCAATGTCTTCTCAAACCCTAGCCCAATCCCTAAACCCCAAACCCTAAACCCTTAACTCTTCTAAAACCTACCAGCTAGGGTCTGGGGGCCCATTCCATGGGTCTGGGGTCTCAGAGGTAAGAGGTTGAAAGGTTAGAAGCAAAATGGATTTTAAGGTTGTTAGGGTTGACAGAGGGGGAGACAAACAAGCTGTATCACGGTTTGGGGTTCAGAGTTATGTAAGGATAATGGAAAAACAAATGGAAGCCACTATAGTAGGTTTAGGGCTCAGGCTCTGGGATTGGGTAATGAGAATATTTTCACAGTTTTGGGGGCCTCTCCTGAAACAGGGATTTTGAGGTTTCTGGCCTGCAGCAAGCAGAGGTCTAGTTTTCAGGTCTCCCGTCGACAGATTGAGGGATTGTCTAGAAAATGTATCAGCTAGTGCGCGGAATTCAGGCCTTGCGGAACTGAAGGCTATTCCATAAAAAGGGGACCCCAATACAGACCCCAAACAAATATATTCCTAATTCTAGGGACCCCCAGATTGATACCCCTTAATTTGGGAAACTCGAATCCCCATAAACACCTAAAAAAACCCAGTCTCCATGTCATGTTCCATTTTCTGTTCCAGGTCATTCTCCATTATTGTGGGTATACCCCCAGTTTTGGGAAACCCCTAAACCCTATATAACCCTATAATATATAACCCTTTATAACCCCTATGTATCCCCTATAACCCCCTTTAAGGGGCACCAAAGCATCCCATCTGACTCTCTACCGGAGAACCCTATGACTATTTACTGACGCCAGACAATCCATGTGATGTCTGGCACTAAACCCCAAACCCTGAATCCTAAATCCTAAATCCCGTAAGCCCTCTCTGTTTGTCTCGGGCACGAAGCCCTAAAAACCTAAGTCCCACACCCTGCAGCGCTAGAATCCCAAGCTGGGTCTGCGGCCCAAGGCAACGACACGCGACTGGAGCACTCTAACCATACTAGCGAGAAAGGACAACCGCCTGTAGGTGGAATGGGAGATTAACTAATATCAAGGGCATGGCAGTCCCAAGTCTTCAGGCCGATACCTTAGGGTAAAAAGAAAATGGAAGCTACTATAGGGATTATAGGGGTATATATTGGGGTTATATTAGGGGATATATTGGGATAATGGAAAAGAAAATGAAAGCTACTATAGGGATTATAACATGTCTATAGTTTGGATCTAATCTTGGGGCATGAAGTTTGCAGTTAACCTGAAGATCTGCCACAAGCCTTATTAGACTTCTACCCATGAACTGCGGGCAAAAGGGGAGGAGACTCTAAACCCACCAACTGCGCCCTTGAGCAGGTTCGCGGAAGTCAGCTGCACTGAAGCGGCCTGCTGCTGGGCCCTGAAAAACTACCAACATCATGTTGAGATCTATTTAAGGCAGGTCACGCCCTGATTCGGAAACTAAAGCCCCTGATCTGCAAACTAAAAACCCTGATTCGAAAGCTAAGAAGCCTGATTCGCAAACTATGACCCCCTGATTCAGAATGCAGGACGTTCCCCCCCTCCCCACACCCTCCCCACCCCCTCCTCACCCCCTCCTGCCCCGCAAGCCCCACCCATCCACCATGGCTTCAAGAAGTGTAGCTTCAGTTTAATTTCTGAATCGGAGATTTTTAGTTTCCGACTCGTGGGTTTTTAGTTTCCGAATCAGGGATGTTAGTTTCCGAATTGGTGGTTTTTAGTTTTCGAATCGGTGAATTTAGTTTCCGAATCGGTGGCTTAGTTTCCGAATGCGGGAGTTTCAGTTTCCGAAGCGGGGAATTTTTAGTGTCCGAGTCGGAGATTTTAGTTTCTGAATCGGGGCTTGTTCATTTGAGCTACACTAGACCATAACTATACACGGAAACTAGAACCATAGCGTTGGCTTTTTCGGGCCCCTACATTGAAAAACTAGAGATGTTCATGCCTCTGCGGAATACAGTTGTAAACGCCCCCCCCCATATCATAATGGTCGTACTAGAATCCCCCTACTTCATGCCCTACGGTAGACATCTGTGAGGAGTAGAACAAATGCTGTGGTCGGTCGTCAGATTTATCTTGGCGCAGGTGACTGTAATGCAGAAGCCTAAATGATTACCAATATCATGTTGGGTCTATTTCAGGCACCCTATACCCTAATTATGCAAAGAGTCCAAGGCCATGATCTTGATAATTATCTCTAAACTCTAAACCCTAAACCCTAAACCACTATATCATCCTAGGTTCCATGTCATTTTCCATGATATGTTCCATTGATTCTCCATGATTAGGGTAATAGCCCTAAACCCTAAACCCTATACATATATGACAACTGGCAATTGTTTAGGCCTCTACAGCAACTTACAACTCTTGGATGCTCATGAAGATCCTGGCGCTCTTAGGACAGCCGGAAACTTAAAGATATTACATAATCCCTAATGTTGCTTGTGGCCTAGGTTTTAGACATTAACATTTAGGGGCCTACCTCGTCCATCATAAAGAATCGAATGGAGATGAGAAGTATGATTATATAGTGATTTATAGAGACCAAGGTTTGGGGTGCATATGTAACCAAAAGTTGAAAGACGAACAAAATCAAACTTCCTGCTCACGTTGGGCCATCCTTCAAAGAAAGTCAAGATACGTTGGATACTCAAAACTCTGCATGACCCTATGTACCTTATACCTTGTGAATTAAAGGGGGGAATATATTGCAGGAAGTTTACCATCAATAGTATTTGGGGAAAATATAGGTGGTCCAAACCTGGAAGGAGTGCAGCAGTCTAGGAAAGGCCATAAACCGGACAGGGACGTTTTCTCCGTCTTTCGCCCGGAAGCACGGTCCCTGAAGGGCCCTCCAGTTCGAAATGGATGGGCAGATGCTGAAGGTCTCGGGATTTTTTAAAGGAGTCTTTCAAATTACGCCCCCTTTCTAGGTACTATTGTTAGGGGTTTAGCGTTGGGTTTAGGGTTTAGGGTTGGGTTTAGGATTCAGGGTTGGGTTTAAGGTTTAAGGCTGGTTTAGGGTTTGGGGGAAGAGCGAGGCTCGCGGAGACCATCTACTCAAGGAAGGGGCATGTACTTCTCGCGGACTGCACTCGAAAGTGTAAGTCTGGCATTCTTAAGAGATCGCATGGGTTCTTAGAAACGGTGAAGGAAAGAGAGAGTAACCCTAAACCCTAAACCCTCATCATACAGTAAGTTGCCCTCGGCCTCGCCTTCATGATGGAATACTGAAAACAAGGACCGGTCTTCTGCTAGACGGCTAGAAGCCGAGCACAAGTTCACAAGATCTGTGCAGGAATCTGATGTAGGGTTTAGGGTTTAGGGTTTAGGTTTTTGGGTTAATCTGGGAATAACGTTCTGTACTACTGTATACCAAATCAAAGACAGTACTCACGCATGGCTCCTTGAAACGAAGCGATGCCACCTCGGGGAAGTAGCATGTCTCATTTTTTGGACCCATCATGCTAGTAAAAGCCCGTATGAGGATTTCCTAAAATAAGGGGTACCCTTTTGGGGGTCTCAATAATAGGGACTATAGTATGTTGGGGTCTATATTGGGGTACCCCTATTTAGGGAAACTGCCATATAGGATGCAGTGCCCCGAGGACCTCGACGCCGAGCCTAGCGTTCAGGATTTACCTTTCAGCAAGTAGGGTTTTGAGCTTTGGGGAAGTAGCCCATGAGAAAGGTCTACTTTCCGCCAGTTTCCTTGTAGGTTGAGTGAAAGGTTTGCGATAATGTGAGGCAACTCGGCTTTGCCGGACAATTCAACGGAAAACCCTGTATGAACCCTTAGGTTTTCAGTTTAGGGTCTAAGGCCTAGGATGTAACGAGTCTCAAATACGGCCTTGAGTCCTCTGCTGCACCCTACATTGCATATAAAAGCTCGAGAGCCTACGCCGTGGCTAGTATCACACGGTTAAAGATTAGGTTTTCTCGATTAAGCTTAGATTTGCGTGTTGCAGCCTTCAGGTGGTCCACAGAGAATGCCGGCCCTAGCCCCTGAAACCTTCAGCATCAAGCTGTGCACGGTGGCGCAGGGAGCATCGTTCTCTGACGAATCTGTAGAAACCTTTAGTTCAAGTGCAGGGTGTCCAGAAAAAGCCTCTTACATACTGGAGGCATTTCTGATTCGATTGACAGCAAGTGGATGGAAACCTACACCTCCCAACTCTTCAGCCTCACTCTCAATTCAAGGCATTTCTTACATGGCTTGCGGCTTGGGGCCCCACACCCGCAAGACCGCAAACTGATCCAAGCCTACTTGCAGTTCGCCGAACGTTTCTTCCTGTTAGCCACTACTCGGAGCCTTAAGGATAGATTCAAGTAGAGCTAGTTGTACCCCGCCTGTATTCATCCATGAACCTCTGAGTAAAAACCGAACTCCATTCCATCGAACTCGCTGCAGATCATCGCGCAGGAACATCGCGCAGGAACGTGGTTCCTACCGCCACCCATGCTTCAATGATCTAAATCTATGGCATCCATGCAGACCGTTGTTCTAGATATTCTCAGTCTCAGCATGGAAGCACCACAAAGCCTTACACCGTAAAGCAGCGTCTTGCTAAGAAGCCTTCAGAAGAGAATTCCAACTTACAGAAATCTGTGAGCATAGGTCAAGTACAGCAGTCTGTAAGATGGATCCTAATTCAGCGGGATGGGAATAAAAAGCATGAGGGCTTGGAGGGCTTTAGGGGCCAGAAGGTTCCCCTGGTTACACGCACTAACATGCACAAATTGTGAAATGAAGACACCTCTGCCCTTACCCCGAAGCCCAAAACTGAACCCTAAAACTTAAGCCTAGGGTCATATAGGGGTTTCATAAGGTTATATAGGCTATAGGGGGTATATAGGGCGATATTGGGGTTATATATTGAACTAAGACTTTAAACCCTAAACCCTAAACCCTAATCCCTAAACCCTAATCCCTAAACCCTTCATCCCCCTAAACATCAGCTCTGGAGTTTCAAGGCAACGGCTCATGGGCCCTGCTTGTCGTGGCCTGGGCTGTGAGAAGTAGATTCAGGAGCTTCAGTAGGCGTTAGGATTCAAAGTTTAGGACCTACCAGACCCCCAAAGGGATCTAAAAATTAGATCCCCTAGAACCATAGGGCAAATTATATAAAGGATTATATAGGGCTTATAATGGGTCTGTATAGGGGATCTAATTTTTAGATCCTCCCAGGGGTCTGGGTAGCTTCAAGACTTAGGGTTCAGGATTTACCATTCAGAATGTCGAGTTTAGATGTGCCCTCCCACATTTGGGGCCTTCACTCGGTGTAGGGCAGGATCTCAGCTGCCCTTGTTTCTGAGGCAAAATTCTCTTGTTTAAGGTTTGGGGTTTAGGGCTTAGGGTTTTGGGTTTAGGGTTTAGGGTTCAGGGTTTAGATGGTTGTGTCAACTATGGCTGGACGGCAAAGTGGTGGACGGGCAACGGTATGAGTTTGACAAATGAGCCTAAACAACTACCAAGATCATTGTCCAAAGTTCCTTGTAGAACTATCTTCAGAGGGTGGTCCTGTATTCAGGGTACCTCAAATAGACCTCAAAATGATATTGGCAATTAGGTTAGGACCCTAGAGTACGCTCGGAGTATCAGAACACCGCCTGCTCCACGCCAGGCTCAGCTGCGAGGGAAAAACACCGTCGGGAGAAACAGAAGTCATCACGTAGAACGGCTTCGGGTTTTGGATTGTAACTTCGCCGCACGGGCAGAAGCACAACATGCTGCGCTCGACGCACATTGCAGCAAACAGGTATGCTGGCATAGCCCTTCCAAACGATAGCGCGCCATAACTCCAAGATCCTCAAGATCAAGGCCAAATTAGCAGAGTAACAATACTAATATTCTACTAATATCATGATAATTGCAAAGTAATAGTCAGATAGGCGAATATCAAACTTATAGCAATACTGTTTCACTGCTGATAAACTACAGGATTTGGCGGGATGCTTTTTAGAGCCGGTGACCCGCATGACATCTGGGGGTTTCCCAAAATTAGGGGTACCATTTTGGGGGTCCCCATAATAAGGATTATAGTCTATAGTATATTGGGGTCCAGATTGGGGTCCCCTCATTTGGGAAACTACCATCTATTCTGTACTTGGAAGGACAGTTATTCCATGGGAATAGAGGGGTATAATAGAGTGTTCTACAGGGATAACGGAAAAGAAAATGGAAACTACTATTTAGCGATTGGGACTTGTGACTTAGTGAGTCTACGTGGCAACAGGGCTTATGGGCAGGGCTTATAATCGGGGATATTGGGGATAGTAGGTAGACTTACTATGTCGAAAGATCATTCAAACAAGGATACGGGAAATGTAAACAACGTGAAAGGGATCCATGCTGGAACTATTCTAAGTTCGCTTCTGCTGCAAGCACGCATGACCCTAAACCCTAAACCCTAAACCCTGTGGGGCTCCCGTTGACTGTTGGCTTAGTATCAAAGCAAGGGATAAGGCATATCTGTGATGTTAGGCATCAGGCTTTAGGGTTTAGGGTTTAGGGTTCCTATTGGAGATTGCAAAGGAAAAAGTGCCAGCTTCCATTTAATTCACCCTTTTCTTGTCCTTTTGATTTTCCATTGGGGAAAATTAGTTAGGCCCCTACTGTAGAACTAAGCCCTCTCTTAAATAACAGGCGTTCTTAGTTTTATTGCCCATTTCCTACAAACCCTGTATAGCCCCATAATAACCACACCCTGAACCCCAAACCCTAATGGCAGCTGTCTCGAGCTGGCATTACCTAGTTTGAGGGTTGGCGAGTCTGCGCTGACATAGCCTTCCCCAGACTCCCAAAAGGATCTAAAAATTAGATCCCCTAGAACCATAGGGCAAATTATATAAGGATTATATAGGGGTTATGATGGGTTTATATAGGGGATCTAATTTTTAGATCCTCCCAGGGGTCTGGGTCGAGCCTTCTGAAGTGGTTCTGCGGAGGTTTACCTGGCCTTTGGTTAGCCAGGAAGGAAGGAATGGAAACCAACATGGAAACTACTATAGAGTTTAGGGTTTAGGCTTAGGGTTTAGAGTTTAGGGCTTAATTAGAAGGAATGGAAAACTGGAAGCTACTATAATGGGCGGTTATATAGGAAGTACTATAAGGATCCATTCCTTCATTCCTAGCTAACAAAAACCATTGCTTGCTACGAAGCTGTTTGCTCGGGTCTGTGGCCCGGTGGGAAGGAGAGCTTCTGGCAAAGAATGTGCCGAATCTGAAAATCTTTCCAGACAGTGTGGTGTTGCGACGGCTTGCCTTTGGCAAAAAGCGTGCGCTTTGAATGTGATAAACCCGGAAACAGCGCGCCCCCATGGCGACGCTTTCTGAAACTTTAACAAATGACAGAAGTGCCTCCCAAGGCAGGTGTATGGCCAACGAGGCTCAGTGAATCCGGTTGGCGTTTACGGACGAAATCTAAAATCCTCTTGCGACAAGGCTGGCTGGCCCATGTAATGGCATTTACTCCTACAGGTCCTTCCGGGCTCAAAATCAAGTCGCTCTTCCAGAACCTACGGTGGAAGCTTTGTGGTCCCCCGTACGAGGCAAAGCCACATCGTGCTGTAATACACACTACTTTATTACATTTCCAGCAGTCATGAGCAGGAGTAGCAGCAGCAGCTGCACCCTCTGCAGGAGTAGTAGTAATAGTAGCAGCAGTACCTGTTGAGGGACAGCTCTAGAGAACTACGGCCTAAATCCTGAAACTCAAGCTCTCAATTCCTAAGCATAGCCTGCCCAACATCCGGAAACTTCAGCCCTAAATAGTAGCTTCCATTTTCCTTTCCATTATCCCTATATAACCCCATTATATATCATCACTAGCCATCACCAACTGGGTCCCCCAGCCGTTCCCATGGCCATGGCTGTGCCCATGGTGAGGGCTCTCACCGTGGCTGTGGCCGTGGCTGTGGGAAGGGCTGTGACCGGGGCTTTCGCCGTGGCCATGGCCATGGCCATGACCGTGGCCTTTCACTTTGAGATTTAGGGTTTAGGGTTTAGGGTTGAGGGTTTAGGGTGTAGGGTTTAGGGTTTAGGGTGTAGGGTGTATATGTTGGGGCTTTACGGGGAAAATGTAAGGATAAAGGAAAAAATGGAAACGACTATTTAGTATTTAGGGGTGCTGTAGTATGTTGGAGCTACATAGGGATAATGGAAAAGAAAATGGAAGCTACTATTTAGGGTATAGGTTTAGCATTTAGGGATACAAGGTCAGGGGTTACCCAACCCCCAAATGACTCTAATAGGGTCCCAGTTTGGGGGACTGGATTTACCAAACTCCTCTTGTTATCCGGGTGCAGGGTTCCGGGGTGGGGTACACGGTTCAATCAAGGTTGGGGGTGCCAAATTCAAAGAGCCACACTGAAAGCTCTGAACCCCTGAAGGCGCTGCCCTGCAGATCTGGCTTTATGATTCCATTGGGTTAGGGTTTAGGGTTTAGGCTTATGCAAGGATAGGGAAATCTTTTACTGATAGAGAGTTGCATTCGCAGGGTACCTCGAAGTAATTCGTACCTAAATCACAAACCCTCAATCCGAACCAGTGAGCCTCATGGGTTCCCCTACCAAGTAGTTCAACTAAAGGGGAACCCAGGGATGAAAGTGGACCCATGCAGAATAAAAGCTAGCTGAGCTCCGGAAGACTTTCCCATGCTTGGCCGGGGAATGGGGGTGGATCCCACTAGTGGGTGGTTGTCAAAATTATGGTCCCTTTTTGGGTACCCTAAATATTAGGTGCCGTATTACAATAGGGACCCCAAAAGGGGCAGTAATTTTGACAATCACCCTAGTAGTCCCTACATACACGTTGCAAAAAGTCAGTAGCTGTCCTTAAATAAACCCAATCCAATCTTCCCACCTGAGCATGGGTGTACTGTTGTCAATAAAAGCCGTCAAACCTCACTAAACTGTAGCACCATAATTTCACAAGTATAAGGTACTTTGGACCACATGGGATTCTTCATGTCCAACCCGCCAAATAAACCCCCTGTCCAAGTTTCCTGAGCTCCCTAAATAAATCCTATGTGACCTGAGTATCCATTTCATTCTCCATCGTCTTTAGCATGGAGTACTGACGATACTAATATCCCCGCATGACCTTGATAGGCTAAACTCTCAGAATTCCTTATGCAAGATGTTTAGTATCAACCCTTGAAAAATCAAAGCCCCTCCATATTGCCAGTTTCCGTGTCATCTTCCATGCTCCTTTCGGCCTGTAACCCCATGTCAACCCCAAACCCTAAACCTTCAACCCTAAACCCTAAACCCTAAACCCCAAACCCTAAGCCCTACACCCCAACCCTGATTTTAGTCTCCACCGTAGGAAGGCTGCTGCCTTGGATCATTCGCTCCTGAGCCTGGTGCCACAAACGGCGAAAGGAGCTTAAAAGGATACATGTTTAGGGTTTGGGGTTTAGGGTTTTGGGGTTTGGGGTTTAGGGTTTAGGGTTTAGGGTTTTGGGGTTTTGGGCTTAGTTTTCAGCACCCTCCCTGTAACGTGGAAGCTCTATGAAATCAGGATTCATGGCTTAGGGTCTAAGGTTCAAAATTGAAGGGAGTTGTATAACGGTTATCTACGGGATTTATGGGGATGTAAAGGGATGTAGAAGGTATAGAGTTTAGAGTGTATACTCCCCCAAAATAGCACGGAAGCCCAAAATGCGGATTGTCTGGAGTGCACATGGATAGAGAAATACAAGAATGCATAGGGTTCAGAGTATATACCCTAACCCCACAACTAGCATAGGAATCTCAGAGAAGGCCCTGTGAACAATACTGCTGTCTTCAGCGGGACCATATCGGCTTCCATGTTTGCTTGGAGGAGGGTAAGGTTCAGGGCTCAGAACTTAGAGACCTAGGCTGAGAGTGCAAAATAGGCGATTATGGTGTATGAACCCTAACAACCCTATCCAGCATTCTGGGGATGCTTGGTGGGGAGTTGTTTTTTGAACTAGGTTGGGGTAATTTGGGGATGATCAGATGTATCCAAGGTTGTTCCGGGTTGTGTAGCTGAGACTCAGCATTTAGGGTGTAGGCGACAGGTCCGATAGGGGCTGATGGTTTACGACGAGGGCTCAGGTGTTTAAAGCCCCTGGTTTTCTGGTTGCCTCGGGGCCCAGATCAATTGGGAACGGGCCTCTGAATTGGGCTTCAAGCAAATCATTGAACCTGTCAGCCACACATACACTCCCCTTGCCGTTTCCAAAGGCACACCCCTAGCAGCATGATACCCTAAACCCTAAACCGCATGATCATCCAGACATTCCTACAACCTGAAGACTAAGAATGCCAGCACGAATTTGTGATGTCCCTGTAAGTGACTCTGCTTCAACAGGACTGTAGAACGGAGCAAACCTAGGAGGACTAGCGGCCTAGGGTATGGTTTCCTGTACTGGTGAAACACCTTGGCAAGACAGGGATTGGGAGTGAGGTTTTTGGAAAATTGCGTACTGATAAGAACTGGCGCTTCCAGCAAAGTCCGGCTCTTGTGGCACCATTTTCAACAAACGGATGCCTCTACACGAAGTGGATTGGGTCGCATGCGGGGACAGACAGTAATTATCAGGCTTCAAAAAAACCAAAGCATCCCTGCGTTTGCCACCAGCACTTCACGCGCAACAGAAGGCCCTGCCTCCTTCACCATTGCGACTTGCGACCTCGTGTTGCAAACTGCCAACACTAGCAAGCCAGATGCAGAGTCTTTGAGTCTTTGAGCGAAGCCATCCTCTCACCCTGTGTCTGCCACACCTACCCATTCCTCTTACAAACAAGAAGAATAAAGAATACAAATACTACCGCAAGTACTTCTTCTGTTCCTTCATTCACTCCTCCCCTACTAGACCGCAGGGAATTTGGGTGGAAGCACTGCAGGGCGAGGACTACCGGACTGCATAACCCAGCCAGCTGCCGATGCCCGTTCCAATCTAAATCGACGACTCCTCTAAAAACGCTGTACCCGTTGGTGTAACATTAGGGTTATATTGGGGTGATATTGGCATAGTGGAAAATAAAATGGAAACTACCATATTCTACTGACCTCAGAGTTCCTCTACTTGGAGGATCTTTTGACTTAATAAGTCCACTCGGTAAGAAGGGTTCATAGTAGGGCTATGGGGGATGGTAAGTAGACTAACTAAGTCAAGAGATCATCCAAGTAGTCTAGCCATCTGCAAAACAGCTTTTTAAGCCATTGCAAATCAAGTTCCCTTACGATTGCACAGTACCTCACATAAACCTCAACAGCGCATTCTACCTGTTGCACCCAATTCTCTGGTAGCACTTGGGGCCCCAGCGGATGGCCCTGCACCCTATAGTGCAACACCTCACCCCGCTCCTCGAAAGCCTCCACGGTGGAATTAATTCAGGGCTCAGCGTTTAGGGTTTAGG